ATCGGTTTTTTTTTTCGTTTGGGGGAAAACTAAAACTGGTCGCAATTTTCGAATAAGAATGAGTCGGCAATTTTTAGTGGAGTCGAAAATTTGGAGGTAAATAAAACACCGAAACCCGGCAAATAAATAGGCGGTCAAATTTTTAGAGGGGTCGAAATTTTGGAGTTTTCACGGTGCTAATTATTCCATTTCAATGAAACTTAGTACAAAGATGCTCTAGGACAATGTACAAACCTAATTAGTTTGGGGTAAAAATCTGTTCATATTAATTCCCTAATAAGCATAATAATTCATAATTTTTTGGTTCTAATCACATTTCAAATAAACTTGGAGACATAGATTTTCTGTTACATTGCGCAGACCTCATTAGTTTTACACTCAAATCTGGTCATATTAATTTTCTGATTTGCATAATTAGTTTTCAGCTAAGTAATTTCGAATTATATTTAATGTGTCTCCAATACTCTCAGCACATGGGAGTTCTTTCTAAGCTTTCTTTGATTTTTGTACTTTTAGATGTAAAAAGAAGACGTATCCGCCTCATAATACGTTACCAAAGACTAGTATAGTTATAGTATTTCATAATGAAGCTTGGAGTACGCTTATAAGAAATGTACATAGTATTATTAATAGGTCACCTAGGATGCTCTTAGAAGAAATTATTCTAGTAGATGATGCCAGTGAGCGAGGTATGCATTTATTAAATTTTTTTGACTGCTGTTTCTGAAAATCATAATGAATGTTTTCCAATAATACTATGTATATGTACATGTGATATACACTTGCTCCACTCATCATGATTTCAAAGTTGAATCCAGTTTTGCACACATTAGTTCCTCAGTTGCTATGTTGGAAATCCCTGTTGCCATGGAAATGAGGTTAGCTGTTTCTTTTACCTCTTAGATCTGAAAAATAGGGATAATATTTAGAAACATTGTTTCACAATTCATGAGATCCAGGTTTCACAAAAGTAACTGTGACTGCCCGTGAAATATTCACTATCAGATGAATTACTTCATGATTATCCCTGACTCATGAATTGAATTGTTTTACACAAAATGTCAACATGGCTGATACTTTAAATGTGTAAATTGTAGTTTATGTTGAAATACAAAATATAGAGATTGGATCTGTTTTATTACCTTACAGAAATAATGCTACAGCTGAAGTAGTCAAATATATCAATCAACTATTATACATGTAGTAAAAGCATTTCTAGATATCTTGCCTTGTATTTATTTCTAAAGTCTCAGTCATCCTCTGAATAGATTTTCTTGGCAAGGAACTTGAAGATTATGTGAAAAAACTTCCTGTTCGAGTGAGAGTGGAGCGTATGGATAAAAGAAGTGGTCTAATACGTGCAAGGTTGCGTGGTGCTGGAGTTTCCACAGGGGAAGTGATTACATTCTTGGATGCTCATTGTGAGTGTACGCAAGGATGGCTGGAGCCATTGATGGCAAGGATAGCAGAAGACAGGTGAGAATTTATCTTAGCTATCAACACTATCAGTTTTACCCAAACTAATAAGTTTTGGGTTTGAGATATCATTTTCTGATATACTTGTAAATGGTATATTTTATGCTAAAAGCTTGAAAATTAGAAAAAAAGCCACCTCTATAGTTTATACCGGCTTCATACTACATGTACATCTCATCACAAACTTTGTCCACCATATCTTTAATAACATTTTATTTAAGCTAGGGGATCATGATTGCTCCTTACCTGTAGCCACTTTCCACCATTTCCGCATTTCCTATTAAAAAGTATTCGTTTCCATAGAATCATACAGCATCCTCTTTACACTTTAATTTTGATCAGAAGATCAAGAAAGTTCAGGCATACATGTATCTGTCAGATTGTTTAATAACACGGCAGAATTATTACGGGTGTGCTTATTTTTGAATATTTGGGTACTACATGTATTTGCACAATTCTGATTTATTTTCAATTCACATTCTTTTTTGTACAATTGTACTTTGTCTCAAATTCAAACTGTATGATTATGTCCAAACTTGGTACACAGACTATTTTGTTCTTGTACACTGTTGATTTGTTTCATTTAATTATAACTTTTTTTAGCTCCGCTGTCGACTTTGTCGAGCGGAGCTTATCATATGAGTGATTGTCCGTCGTCGTCGTCGTCCGTGTCAATGTTTTACTTTTTCGACTTCTTCTTGAAAACTACAAGCCTGAATGCTTTGATACTTGGTGTATATGTACCTTGGGTAGACCTCTCTTAGGTTTGTTCATTTCATGTTGATATCTTCAATTCTCTAATTTTGGTGAATATTTTTGTCATTTTTGGTAAAAAGTGATATTTTCGACTTCTTGTTAAAAACCGCAAGTGCAAATGCTTTGATAATACATATATAGGTACTACATGTGGACCTCTCTCAGATTTGTTCATTTTGTAATGATATCTTTAATTCTCTAATTTTGGTGAATATTTTTGTCATTTTTGGTAAAAAGTGATATTTTTGACTTCTTGTTAAAAACCGCAAGTCCAATTGCTTTGATACTACATATATAGGTACTACATGTGGACCTCTCTCAGATTTGTTCATTTCGTGATGATATCTTCAATTCTCTAATTTTGGTGAATATTTTTGTCATTTTTGGTAAAAAGTGATATTTTCGACTTCTTGTTAAAAACCGCAAGTCCGATTGCTTTGATATTACATATATAGGTACTACATGTGGACCTCTCTCAGATTTGTTTATTTTGTGATGATATCTTCAATTCTCTAATTTTGGTGAATATTTTTGTAATTTTTGGTAAAAAG